ACACATAATGGATCTCGAAGTACTATTTTTGCATCTCCTAGACCAAATCCGTTCACATTAGGATTACTTGTTAATGGTTGATCAAATTAGATGGATGAATCAGAATGAATCAACTAATTGATGGGTTTAGATTTTTTAGACTAGGTTAATGTCTCAGGGGATTTTAGTGATAGGTTCTATAGGGACTGGATGATCCTATTGAGCACATGCTCCTACACTTGTGCGGTCCCTCGTCAATTCCTTTTGTAATAATTTCTGTTTTGGAGTTTACATATACTCATCTCTCCAATTGAAATGATCAAAGCTTAATATTTCATATTAATAAATTAAATAGTCCAACACGTTGTTCTAATAAGTTGCCTCTATCGATGGTTAACTATTATAAGTCGCTTGTTAAAAAATTAGTTTATGAAACTGATTATTTGGTATCTGGCTATCACAACTGGGAAAATATTTTCATTGTTATCTAGAGATTTAAATGATTTTGATGCAGTCATCTTAAAAAATATGGATCATGTTAGTTAGCCGTGAATTTACTTCTTGAAAGGAACCCCAATGCGAAATTTCTTTGCACCTGGGAAGTTTTTGGGAGGATATACTGAGGCAAACAATCACTTTTAAATTAGCATGTTTGGGTTTGCTTAAAAGACCACAAGAAGCTTCTTTTGGCCTTTTAAGCATAACCGATCATGCTATATGACTTCCTATAATTGTTGATCTCCTTATTTAGAAAAAGAAGATTGTAACAGGAATACACATCAATTTGTTTGACATAACTAATGACACATTGTGCTTGTGTGAAAGTGATTATTTGAAAAGTGAATTTTTGGATAATGTTGTTAAAAAGTACGAGAAAAGTTATGCGGAAACATGGAATTTTTTTTTTTTTTTGAGAATTTGTGGTTGCAAATGCGTATGGGGGAAACTGATTTTCTTTCAAACCAGGGCTTTAATTATTAAAACCTATTCACATCACTTGTTTCTGTTGTTATTCTAATTCTCATTTACTACATTTTTTTCTTTTCCATTTCTGTTGGTTCTGTGTATAATTCCTTCTTTTTTCCTGACTTTTAGCGAACTTCTACAACAGAAAAGGGTTCAAATATTTCATAAAGTTAGCTTAAACTGGTTTAGCATTCTTCTCTCATGGTTGTTTCTTACTTTGTTTTGCAGTACCAACGTAAGATGTTTCTTGTTAAGAAAAAAGGCGACTGCATTTCCTTTCATATTTTGCCTTTTCAGATTTTTAAGGTACAACAAAGAATTCAGTCTCTTCAGGCTGGAAAAGGCAAGGCATAACATGCCCGAATGAGCACGGAAATTTCTGCATTTCTACATTCGACTTTGGGATCCTATTGTAGGTTATCTGTGAAGTTTGATGTTCAATTTTCATTTTGCATCCAATTGGTGTGGAAGGACTGCTGAAGTTGATCAATATTTTTTACCCTTTTTCGGTTTTCATAGATCTTGTTCTCCACGCGATATATTATTGGGCACTTGTTATGGGTGATTTGTCCTCTTGAAAAATTCAGGATGTTTGGTGAATGGAGATTAGATGGCAAGAAATATAAGTCAAAATCCTATTCATTGTATTGTGCGATTGTAGTTAGTACTACATACGAAACATGTCATCGGTGTTATCAGTATGGATTTTGCTCCTGCAACTGGATTGACTCTGCCGCGAACCGATCTCACCCACTACTGAACCAAATTAATAATCCACTTAATCAACGGAATGAATTATAAGGTGTGCTATTAGGCATTGATCTCTATCTATCTCTACTTGTGATGCATCACATACCCTGACATATGGGTAAGCCTTTGCTACTCGAGACTATGGCTCCGCGCCCCCGCCTTTACTTCTCCTGCCCATGGCCATTGGTAAGAATGCAACAAGAATATTATCTTCTTGTATATAGCATGCACATAAAATACTGTCCTTGTCTACTCTTTAAGATGTGCTAGATCTTATAATTTGGTTTCTATTTGTGTCAATTTTCAAAATCAGTTTTCCAAATGAAAACCAAGGCTAAGCCATCTAAAATGTAATCTGGCCTCTAGTTTATAAGCCAATAATAGTATATTAGCCCATCTAAAGTGTATTTAACTGAGGGATAATATCAAAACTATCCTACTTTTCTCAAAAAGGTTAAAATACCCCATTCTGGAATATTTTTTCCCCTAAAAGTACGTTAAAAGTCAATATTTTACATTTACCTTATTTTATATAATTTACTTAAATATACCTTCATATAATTTAAAACCAACAGTTTTTCTTAAATATAATATTTTTTTTACAAATTAAAAGTTAGTGTATGAATGTTAAATGAGGCAAGTCGACATGCTCGACTATTGAAATCAATAATCAGTGTAAAAATCCACTTTGTATTCATATGTAGAGGTAGATTGTACAAAATATTTTAGGTAGATGTAATGACTGCGATGATCTTTGTGGAACGTCTACCATAATGCAAGAGTCAATTATGTCCCTGTTTGGCCCCCATTAAATTTTATTACATTACATTAAATTTTTCTCTCTCTTCATTACATTACATTATGACCGTCTTCAAATATTAAATATTTATCTAGTCGAGACTTAAATCTATGATTCAAGACGTTACACAATTTTTACAGTCATTACAAGTACATGGACATGAAATCTTACTATTACAAATAGAACGTGAGAGATGACAGATAAAAGAATGATGAAAATGAAATGGAAAAGAAATTTGAATTGTGAGTAAATTTCTTCACTAAACAGCCCTATTTACAGGTAAAAATTCATTAAAATTAAAATTTGAATTTAATAACAATTTTTTTTTTTAATTTCTCAATGGCAATTCTACCATTGAAAAATCAATAATAAATTGCCTTACGCCCGCCTACTTTGACTTGGACAAGCCTATCAACTCGTCTAGGCCCGAGAACGAGCTCAGTCAGTGACTCAAAAAGAGAGCGACTCATTTGGGTGAATCATTGTTCGGCTCGTTAGTGAAGCAATTATGCTTAATACTATTTAACATACTAAAAATACAATTAATTTTCCTTCAAACATGAAAATAATGAACCCATTGGCATGTACTATCTATGAGCCACCTGATCTCTATTCACCATTGATTGATGACTCCTCCTCCTCATTAAGAAAAGTAAAATCTTGTATGCTACTTCTAAAAATCTCAAGTATATGCATCTAATTTTATTAAAAGAAATTTAAAAAGAAAAGGGCAAAAAAAAAAGGGGGGGGTGTAGTATTGGGTTTAATGATTAGAAATGGAAAAAGCATTTCTACCATGTTTTTCCTCTTTTATTATGTTCACATTCTTTTGTCTTTATTTGGTAATGTAATTATTTATTTGAAAATAATTTTTTTTTGTTTCCCTTTTTTAAAGAAAGTAGTGGTTGTCTTCATGCCTAATTTCACTTTTCCCAACTACAATTACTTTTTTAATTTTCATTTTCCATCGGACTCCAACCATTTTATTAACCAAAATACATAATTTCTTTGCTTACAAATAATTAATAATTAATGATTCAATATTTAATATTTTCCTTTATTTTACATAATTTTATAATAACATTTGGACAATCTGAGGAAAGTTAGGAACCTAAATTAGCTTAAACTCCACAAAAACCTGATTTTTCCCATTTTCTCATCTACTGACCAAAACCCTCAAAAATTCAATCTTTCTCCTTCTATTTTCTCCAAAAAATCAAATCTTTTTCCCAAAATTTCCTTGTTCATCATTAATTTTTTTTTTCCTCATTTTGTTGGGTTGTCCTTAAATATCTTGAACATTTTTTATTTCAAAATGAACAGTTTGAACTTTTTTCAGTTTTATTGTACTGTGCATTTTTAGCTGTGTTAAGAGATAGAAATCCTTTTGAAAGATAAAATCTGAAATCTTGTTAATTTTCTTCACACGAGTTTTGATTTTTGAGGTCTTTTCAGTTATTTTCTGTTTATTTTCGTCAAAATCTTTAAATACACTGGGTATTTGTGGCTAAGAAAATTATGGGTTTTTGAAGAAAGTTGGTAGGAATTTTTGTTCTTAAAAATTGAAGTTATGGAAGGTAGAGAAGGTACTAATACTTTGCATAGTAGTGGAGTAACAGTGGTGGGATCAGATGCTCCCTCGGACTACCATGTGGCTCCTAGGACCACAGAGAACCCACCCCGGGTGAGTGGATCTGCTCCACCTGTGACTGTGACTATTACACCTCCAGAAATGGGTGTTACTCCTCCTCCGTCCGCAGCTGCCGGAGTGGCTGGCGCCACCACTGTGAAGAAGAAGAGGGGTAGGCCTAGGAAGTATGGCCCTGATGGCTCAGTCACTATGGCCCTCTCACCTAAGCCGATTTCCTCCTCTGCCCCACCTCCGGTTATCGACTTCTCTGCCGCTGAAAAGCGCGGCAAAATCCGGCCTGTTGGATCCGCTGGCAAGCCACAACATCCCAGAATGGAGTCTGAAAGTTTTGGTAGTTCGCCAAAATTCTGCATTTCTATATTTATGTCTCAAGCTTTAGTACATGCATGCTCTTGAAGCTTTGTTTTATGTGATCTATGTTTGTTTCAGCTATTTGAATTTGAGTTTGAGGTACTTTTTCTCAAATAGTTTATAATTATAGCATATGATGTTGGAGTCTTGTAGTGGGGCCTGTGAATAGATGCCCCAACTAAGATCTTGTTGTAAATGGATAGTCCAAGAATCTGGAACTTCTGGGCCAGAATTTCTGGCTGTTATTGGCACTTATTTTCCTTTTAGAGAGAAGGGTCTGCTTTGAAGTGTCTTTTTGAATTGCCTTGGTATTTGTGCTCGAGTAATGGCCGAGCCTTCTTTATTCACCTCCCTGTGAAGGGCAGGAGTCTTTGTTTACTATTTAACCCACTTGTGTTGAAATAATGTTGTTTTCTTGCAATTTGACGAAATCAGCGTTGAATTAAATTATATAAGTCATTTGTTGTTACTTTGAAATGGGCTTCAGTGACTGAACTGTATGTAATTTTATTGATGGCTCTATCATCATTCATAGACCGACTAACAGACCATGTTGAATGGACAATATGATCATATGTCTCTTTCTCCTTGAGTGGCTTTTGTTGTCTTTTCTGAAATTCTACTGCATGTGGGGCTATGAAAGTAATTCCTATTTGTATGAATTTATCGTGAGTTCTAATGAATGTTTTTCGGCTCTTATATTTTCTGCAACAACACAGATGCCTTGTAAAGCGAATGGAAATTTCTTCAAATTTTTATTTACTTAACATTTTTTTGCTTTGATTGCAGAGTGAAACTGTTCTCTTTATCGTAATTACTAATCTTTAAAGCTGCTTCTTTCTAGGTGAATGGGTTTCGTGTTCTGTTGGTGCTAATTTCACTCCTCATATCATCACTGTTAATGCTGGAGAGGTAAATGTGATGTATTACTTGCATGCTCTCTTTGAGTTTTTATTCCCATTTTATATAGTAATAATTCCATGTCAAGTTATTTTTCTCCTTTTCAAACATCTTGAACTTTTATCATAAAATTAGTTTGTAGTGGGCCAAGTGGCTAATGATTAAGAGTCTTCTCTGGCAATTCATAGTTTCATAATATATCAGATTATTAATGTCATATTTCATTTTTGCTATTTAAAAATTTTAAGATGTTATTGTGGGGCAAGAGGAGGGGAAGAGATGAGATTGCGGTTGTATGGTCTCAATTCTTGATGATTCTACCTTTGATTGTTTTAGGATGTCACAATGAAGGTTATATCTTTCTCTCAGCAAGGTCCTCGGGCAATATGCATTCTCTCGGCTAATGGTGTGATTTCTAGTGTTACTCTGCGTCAACCTGATTCTTCTGGTGGTACATTGACATATGAGGTTCTGGAATTAATTGTTCTTTAAGTTGTTTCTTATGTTGATATATTTTCCTGACATAACTTTTCAATAGTCAATCGGTTTAAGAGTTTAATATTCGTTCAGATTTAAATTATGACGATGATGCTTCTTTTTGATGGATTTCAACCTCTTCATAATGCACCTTTAAACTTATTGTAGCTTATCTTTAATTCTATCAATGGCAAGACTTTTTCGACGTCTTCTATATGATTTAAACTTAAAATGCTAGTGTCAGGGATTACTTCTCAAATATAAAATCCATTCTTTAAAATTTGTGTTTACTACGTATTTTTTTTTATAGCAAATAGATATTAGTTTTAATTCTCATTCTGAATGAGTTGATGAGATTCAACTATGATTACTCATATATTAAGTCAAATATATCTTAATAATCTCCACTAAAGTATGAAATGTTAGGAGCTGACTTCTTTTTACCACTAGAGTAGTGTTATTTATCCCCAGTGGGGTTACAAGCACAGTTTAAGTTGAATCTCATCAACTCATTAAGTATGAAATGTTAGGAGCTGACTTCTTTCATTAAATGCCACTAAAGCAGATTCATTAAAATTTTTAGCAGATTTAGATAAAAGTTGATGAATGTATGGTTTGAAAAGTTGACAAAAAAGTTGTGGTAAAACACTCATTATTCCTATATAATTACAATGCAACTACTCAATTCTACTGTATTTTGTTGTTAGTGGTGGATCATTTTGATGATGTAGATATATCTGCTTTAGCATTACCCTTATACCTTTTCAATTGAGTTGTGGACATAGAATATCTGGAACATTTGGGGAAAATGAAGGAAAAATAGGGGTCCAATGTGCATATTCATCTTATATTTGAAGAATTTTTATTTCGAGGCCACATATTCATGGTTCTTAGACACAAATCATTTGAAGTTTTACTTCTAACCCTTTAATCAGGTCTTAACATGTTCGATGGCTGAGTGCATAATCAATTCATCCATTTACATATCTGATAGTGTATTCTTCACGAGTTAATTGATTGATGCTAGTATTTCTGGCATTCCTCTAATTAATGTTTATGCAGAAAAATTTCACAATTACTACAACGATGACTGATTTATCATTTGAACTCAATTCAGTTACCTTCTTCACGAAGTAGAAAAAAAAAATCTTGTTTTGAATTGATTAATATCTTTGATGTCGCATTGCTTCTGTGGTTAGGGTCGTTTTGAGATACTCTCATTAACTGGATCGTTTATGCCATCCGAGACTGGAGGAATCAGGAATAGATCTGGTGGTATGAGTGTTTCTTTAGCTAGCCCAGACGGGCGTGTTGTAGGAGGTGGAGTTGCTGGTTTGTTAGTCGCCGCCAGTCCTGTGCAGGTACACCTTCTCTTTTCTCTTATGACATGTTTGTTGAAGATAATTGGATGGATATTATTGGACCGTCTCAAGGAAGAGAAATTCAATTAAAATCTTGTTAATTATACTAAGGGCATGTTTGGTATGGCTTTCGAAAAGTCGAAACTTCCTTTGAGCCTGTTTGAATAATTTTTTGAAAGTGTTTTTAGTGGAAACTGACTCAAGGTGAATTTGTTTGGAAGCTCTTCTACATTAAGTAAAAGCAAGAGCTATCCAAACATGCCCTAACTAGTTTGTGTACTTTATTTCCGCATTCTTGGAGCTGGAAAAGGGGAAAATGTTAAGATATTACTTTTCCCACGATTCAACTTTTGACAAATTGTGTTCTGTGTGAATTAGATTGTGGTCGGGAGCTTTCTGGCCGGGAACCAGCACGAGCCGAAGACCAAGAAACACAAACCCGAGTCTGTGGCTGCTGTCCCTACAGCTGCTATTCCCATCTCCAGTGCAGCGACAGAAGAACCATATCAAATATCATCTTCTTTCCGTGGAGATAGCTGGTCTTCAATGCCCCCAGACTCGAGGAATAACCCAACTGACATCAATGTACCTTTGCCTGGGTAGTAACCTAAATGAATCTTGATTGCGGAAACACAGTTTTCTCACTGACCATACCACATTGGCACAAGAATCCCAAGTTATGGATTCCATATTTGATGAATCTCTTACCTCTTCGTTGTTGTTTTGTCTGTAAACCTAGTGTTCGCATGCCGATTGCAGGCAATGTTATAGGAACTTGGCTAGCTAGTGCATTAGATCAACTCTTTTTTCTGTCCCGTAATGTTTTAGGTGCATGAATTCACTCTTGAAGTTAAACTTTGATCCAGTTTATGCATTGTGATTTCTCTCTGTCATTGTTCTTATGGTGGCGATTGTCGTGCGAGATGTTTGGTTGTGGTTATAAGCAACTTAAATTTACTCGTAAGTTGCTTATTTTACCAAACATTGTTTTTGAAGTTAAAACTTTTTACTAGCAAATTGAGTTTAGGCAACTTTGAAGAACAACCGACCATTCTCAGAATGCTGGAGGCTCTGTTTTGGAGGGAGTCGAACGACTTTCTAAGTTATATATAAAAACAAGTTAAATTAATACTTAATTAATATTTAAAGGCGTTTTTAATTTTTTAATAAAAGTTAAAAGAAAAGTTTACTTGCTGAATTAAATGTATGAACGCAAAATTTATGCCACGATGGATTTAATAAAACTTTAAAAGAAATGTAAAAATGTTAATAAAAAATATCAAAGAATTACTAATAACAAAATTCGCGTTAATAAAATAATTATCCGCTTTATAAATAATATAATTTTAAATTAAATACAAACAAATGGTGGATAAATAAATAATATATATATATAGATCTGTTGAAATGTATGATTGAATATATAATTTAACTACTTATAAATAATTTATAAATTTTACCAATATAATAAACATTTCAAACGAAATCTGAATTTAAAACCTTGTCACTGGTGAATCTAACCTTAAAATCAAAGTAAACTTAAAACTTGTTAACATAAATAGTTGGATAACACATCTAATTCTTCTTCTAATCGTAAAGAAAAATTTGTCGAAGTAGCTATAACACTCGCTTTACGAAAAGAAAATGTTATATCGATAATGAAGATTTTAGATGAATACGATGAGCGAATGTTAAAACTAATGCATATAATAAAGTACTTTGTTGTTGTAAATCCAATACTACTTTTGTAAATTGCATATGTATTCCTATAGCCCTAATCGTGCCCTATAAATATGATTTTTTATCCTGATTAAAACGCATAAGAGTTTTTAATCTTTTTCAATTTCATCCTCTTTTTCTTAGATTAAAGCATGTTATCGGCATTGATGCTACCAAAAATTTGTACCTGGATTGACCCGAAGGTGATGGTTGAACTTTGCACGCTATGATTGTCAAATACCTGAAACATAAACGGCGATGTTTGTTCTCGTCGTCCCTCCGATGCTTAAGTCGGAAAGAGGAATGACAAAATATTGTATGCTTGAGTAATTATTGGAAAAAATGTACTTGAATAATGAGAAAGGGATACATATTTAAAGAGGTTGGTAGCCGAGTCCTAGACGGACTAATATTCCCGTACGGGAAGTGTTTGTGTTGTGCTAGAATTGTGTTAATTGAGTTAGGTTGGAGAGTCAATGTTTGAATTGAACTAATAAATTGGTTGAAGATTCTTTCAACTTCCTATGTGGGATTAAGTTCCCACACGTGATGTTAAATTCCAGGATTTTTACTTTCAAGTTGCCAACTTCTAGCATTAATTTCTCATTCATCCGGAAATGATTTTGTGATATTAAATATATCTCGAATATCTACTCGCGGAGTAGAATGCGTTTGACCATTGACCCGCACAAAACGGATACTGAGTCCCACCCGAATTATTGGTCAAACTTGACCCATTTTTAGATGAATACAATGAGCGAATGTTAAAACTAATGCATATAATAAAGTACTTTGTTGTTGTAAATCCAATACTACTTTTGTAAATTGCATATGTATTCCTATAGCCCTAATCGTGCCCTATAAATATGATTTTTTATTCTGATTAAAACGCATAAGAGTTTTTAGTCTTTTTCAATTTCATTCTCTTTTTCTTAGATTAAAGCGTGTTATCAGCATTGATGCTTCAAAAAATTCGTACCTGGATTGACCCGAAGGTGATGGTTGAACTTCGCACGCTATGATCGTCAAATACCTGAAACAAAGGCGACGAGGAATGTTCTCGTCACCCCTTCGATGCTTAAGTCGGAAAGAGGAATGACAAAATATTGTATGATTGAGTATTATTGGAAAAAATGTACTTGGATAATGAGAAAGGGATACATATTTAAAGAGGTTGGTAGCCGAGTCCTAGACGGACTAATATTCCTGTACGGGAAGTGTTTGTGTTGTGCTAGAATTGTGTTAATTGAGTTAGGTTGGAGAGTCAATGTTTGAATTGAACTAGTATTCTAGGGGCACGTGAGACGAGGGGGAGGACACGTGAGTTAAGGGACGAGGTTGCGCATGATTATAGGCCCGACCTATAATGCTTGACCTGAAAGTCATTATCCAGAATTAATGGGATGAGGTCGGTCCCAGTGGATTAAGCCCCTAAACCCCCGACCTCAACTGTGGGCTGGAGCCCAGCAAAACTGGGCCAAGGTCGATATCTGGCTTTGCATCATCAAGCATGAAGTTTTAGCCAACTGAGCCAGCAAAAATAATTGTTTTTTTCTATTCAAAGATAAGCATGATTTAAATATTTTAGCAGAATATAATGTTGATGCTCCTCGAAAAGCATAACTTTGTTTGTTATATCAATATTTTTTTTAATGATATTCTAGATTAATTTTGTGTTATTACTCTCGAATAGTGTAACTCTATAAAATTTATTTTCAATTGTGCTCTTTCTGAAGAAACTCAATTTCAAAATTTATTAATACGAGTCTTTGATTATCAATAAAACGCGCGAGACTTTTGACTTTTTCTCAATTCTCTCGTATTATTCCCTCTTTTTTCTTAGTTTCATAACATTTATTAATTTAATTTTGATGATTAGCCGGAAATAATAATGTCAATGAGCTCACATTAATTAATTAATTAACCTAATTTAAATTCATGCTTTGTCCAGTTAAGTAAACTGCTAGCGGGAAGTTGGGAAGTTTCACTGGAAAAAAAGTGATTGCTCGTTCAAAGGGCATGGAAAGATTTCCAAAATCAATAAAATCCGCGTTGACAAAGTTTTATACGTCTAAAACTTAACCAAGACTTTCGTACCCTTATCATTAGAACTAAAATAATATTGGAAAATTGATAAAATCATTTGAAAAAAATTTATGATTATTTTTCATATTAATACGCCTGTAAACGAGATCGTTCCAAAGTTTTATATTCGATAAACACATTGAGCATTAGAGTTCCGTCTTAAAATATACACCTTACTAACTTGAGCGACAACGAAATTAACTCGCCTAAAGTACTATCTCGAAGAACAAATTATTTTCAATTAAAGATTACATAATGCAAACAGTCCATTCAGCCCAAGGAAATAGAATAGGGGCAGGATGACAGTTGACAAAATTAAAAAATTCCTGGAAATTTACTTGTTTAAGTTTCGTAAGTTGTTGTGCTCTGAGAGTATACCAATTACAATTTCTTAGAAACTTTCCTTTACTTGTTGAATACATTGAACTTATCTATAAATAGGCATTCCTTGTATCTAAATCTTATTGACAACCTTAATTTCTCATGAGATTTGTGTGGAAACTCATAGTTCTGTTATTCATACTGTGTGCATCAACTTTGTTCATATTCTCCAGCTTCTCATTATCATATGGAAACCTCAGTGTCTTTTGGGGCACTCGAATTTTCGTTTTTTCAATCTTCAACATTGTATTTTGTACTGTTCTAGTGAAATGGGACAGAGAATCAGTGCAGAATTTTGATGCGATTATGAACTTTCTGAACTATTTGTATGAACTAGAGTATGACCTAGATGAGGCGAGGCCAGACGAGAGCAGTACCGACAGTGATGATGATACTCATTCGTTTAATTCAGATGGTTACGAAGAAGACGAAGACGAAGATGAAGATGAAGATGGAGACAATGAAATCGGATGGGATGATGAAGAAGATGAAAACGATGAAAGTTTGACAAGAAGAATTGAAGATTTCATAGCTATGATGATTAGAGGATGGAGAGAAGAATTGTTGATGGAAAATATTAATAACCAAACAAAAGGATTGATTTGAAGGCCAGTGTTTATAGAATTGTTTCATTGTGCCTATGATACTATCTTTTGTACATTTTCTTTTAAATCTTTTCAAAACATGAAATTCCCTCTTTTTTTGGGTTTTGGTGTTCCTTTTTACAGTTAATGTGAATGTACTTTCATTCCTAGCAAGAAAATGGCTCAACACTTGTGTATATATGCTGCTGACTGGTGGAGATCAAATTCTAGTTTTAGTAGATTTTGATAGAAATTGATAACATGTATGATTGAAAAGTTGTGGATTTTATGAAAACATACACTGATTTAGAAATTGGATGGGATGAAGAAGAAAAAGATGACGAAAACGATGAAAGTTTGACAAGAAGAATTGAAGATTTCATAGCTATGATGACTAAAAGATGGAGAGAAGAATTGTTGATGGAAAATATTAATAATTAAACAAAAGGATTGATTTGAAGGCCAGTGTTTATAGAATTGTTTCATTGTGCCTATGATACTATCTTTTGTACATTTTCTTTTAAATCTTTTCAAAACATGAAATTCCCTCTTTTTTTGGGTTTTGGTGTTCCTTTTTACAGTTAATGTGAATGTACTTTCATTCCTAGCAAGAAAATGGCTCAACACTTGTGTATATATGCTGCTGACTGGTGGAGATCAAAATCAAGTTTTAGTAGATTTTGATAGAAGTTAATGACATGTATGATTAAAATGTTGTGAATTTCATGAAATATGTATGTAAATATCATGTATCTTCCATGTATTCAAGTTTAATAGGTCTCCTTCATTCCTAAGTACAAGCAACGAAGCCCCGCCCTCAGTGTACTTTCAAGGAACATACGTCTTATGGGTTATGTGTACAATCTGGTGGGATCGTCAATATCGAGAATGAGATTGAAATACATAATTCTGATTTTTATGAATAATGCCACATGTACATCATCTTTGATATCATCATTGTTGGCAAGATTTGATTCGTGAAAAAACTGCTTTTTTTTTTAAACTGGCCAATAAGGTGGTGTTACGTGGCACAATGTAAAAAATATGTAAAGGACAAAGTAGATGTAGCATGATTTGATTTTTATATTGCCAGGCCCATCAATTGCAAAACTCATAGCAATTCAATTTCTTTTCGAGACTTGGAAATATTTTATAGAAATTTAGGTCAAAAATAAACGCCCCACACCCACTTGGCCCATGTTAGGTATGGATTTTTTTTTAAAAAAATTAAATTTTCTCTAAACTCATTTTTAATCATACATTTTTTCAAAAAATAATAATTTTTCAAGTGGACCCATAACAATTTTTGTACTTTATAATTACTCTTGAAAAAAAAAAAAAAACCCCACTTTTCACTAAATTCATTTCAAAAAATCGTCAAACGGGCTCTTAATAAGTCGGGGGCATGGTTACACTATAAAAACAGCAATGTTCCTTGAACAGATTGAAAAAGGGATTCTAGGTTGGTAATTTGCCCTCTAAACGATGCAATGGCACTCGGTATCTTTCAACCGGTCTTAACTTATGCCTCCACGACAAATTTTTCACTGAAAATAACTCTTTCGAAGTTATGGATATGACGCAGCATCATAGCTGTTTTCGATACAATTAGTGAATCCAAACTTATAATGGGGGAAATTTGGTTCTCAAAGATCAATACAAATGGGAAACCCTTTGGATGGAAAAAGGCATCCAAATAATTCAAAATTTTGCTATAACAAATGAAAGTTTTACAATCATTACAAGAGAAAAATGTGCTCAAACAAGCAAGTTAATGCTGCTATTCTTCAATACGTTACAGCATTCAACTTGGTTATATTTTGCAGATGACTCAATCTATAGTGAATGATCATCATCTTCTAGTGCATTGAAAATCATCCTACACAAAATAAAACGGTGATTAGGACAGTATTTTAAGACAACAGAGGAGGTAAACTCTCTTTGTTGTAATCGAAGAGGTTGCAGATTTTCACTCACCAAAACAAGGACATGAAGAGAAGAAATATCACGTAGCCCAGTTTGAAAAGCCGCTGTTTCTTTTCCCAGTTGAGCAAGTTAAATATCTCGGTTACATCAACAAGATGCTGTCTTCGCGTATACCTGGTTTAAGAAAATCACGATTCAAAGAGGGTGGCTCAATTTTTTGTCCAGAACTATCCAAAAAAATAGTTAATCTAACTAATTAATGAACCGCAGATAAAGCTGAATATAACACACTAAGGCAACAATATGTTTGCAACTCTTATGATCCTATATGTTTTAGTACCATTTCACGCACAAAGAAAGCACTGAACAAATAACCGAATAAACAGACAAAGTCAATCAAGACGAAACTTTAGATGTTTGGGGATGAGAATGAGAATAACTAACAAGGAGAAGTAGGACCTCAGCTTTCCAATAATGACCATTAAAAACATTGGTTATGTTGACTACTGCAAGTGCAAAAGTTATGGTGCAATTTATCTATGGTCCAATTCAACTCTATGAAGCACCAACATTCAGATCAACCCAACATAACATCAACACGAACTAGCATAAGACATAGAGTGCATCAAATAGCATATAAATTATATATACTACCTGTACGACTGACTGGGTGACTGACTTCAAAATCAAATATCATCTCTTTTTTCCCCTTTTGACAATAGTTTCATTTATCTACTCCGCCTTCTATCACATTGATAGATCATAAACCAACAATCCACTTGTACCATGAAACAACAAAAACTATCATGCAGGTAGCTGACAAATTAAAATAAGTTTCAAGGAGAAGTTCACAAGAACTTACAATCTCACGTTGTAGTACAGGTACGGAACACTGAGAAGTGACATAACCCAATGCCCTGTCACAAGGAAGAGAAAGCATAGAACCCCTTGCGTGATGAATTCTGGTAAAACCACTTTGTTTATCTTAGATGCAGAGTCATAAGGGTTGATATAATCGAACTCTAGATCTGCCAAGCACATTAGCTGCACAGCATATTAAGAGTCAGATTCCATGTATCAAACCCAATTACGTGACACGGACACAACTAAGGATGTTTTAATCCACGGTCTGCAGCCCTATGCAATACAGTATTAAGCAAACTTAAGCAGAAATGGCTAATTTATGGCATTTTCAGTATGTACATGATTAAATTCCTCATCCTCTCGACTCCATATGCTGATGCTGCAACGAATGTATATTTTAAACTAATTTCAATTCCAATGCATAGATTACCAAAACTACAAGTGGTGGTATTGAACTGTACCGCAAAATTGACATGAACTGTAATCAATGCAAGTTTGAACCAATTATTTGGACACACTTCCATGCCATAACTGCAACCAGATTTAAAATTTGAAATTCATATAGATCCAATCATGCAAACTCTTGTATGTCAGAACTTCACGGAATGGATTTGAAACCCACGCGGTTCAAAATATAATTCCCGGCAGCAAGGAATTAGCCATCAGACCACAAATTGTGCCAAAAGAAAACCCTACTTAATTTGATTTATAACCAGACTTCCTTTCAAGTATCATAACAGAAGACTCAAAAGTACTGTTACAGCAGACAACGAAACCATCGTCCCTCACAAAATTCACATTCACAAGCTAATAGCATCAGAAAGAACAAAAAAATTCAATTAGGAAACACAGATATAAGAATTTTTTTCAGCAATCAATCTGCAGATAACAACAACTTTTGCTAAACTAGGTTTCCATTTGGGACTTTAAGAAAATACACTAAAATCAAAAGCAAAGCACTAATTTTTTCTATTTTACATGGCAGTGTAGAAGGATTGACCATACATATACCATATTAAAGCATTAACCAAAAATTCCTATTAAGGGTTTAACAGTATATATCCAATAATAGCGTAAATAACATAATTAAGGTACGACTAACCTGGTAAACAAGTATAATAAGCAAAGCAATAAGCGTGAAGAAGAAAATCAGCCATGCCCACAGATCTCCCATTCCTCTTTTTGTCAAATATTTTGCTTTATGAAAATAGCAACAATTCTAAGATAGTGGATGGCGCAAGACAGCAAAATGAGAGCGTATGGGCCTTCGTGTTGATTAAATTACAAGGAAGGTATTGGAGAAAAGGCGAAGATAAACTCTGGTCCGGTCAGGGAGTGATCAGGTTTTACTCAATGGAATCTGGCATAGATGCGCGCTAGACTTTTTGTGGCCGAAACTCCCGTTAAAACCAAATAGGGATAGCAACATAATCCGTCAAATCCCCTCGCACCCCCGTCCCGAACAGAGTAGGAATTACCCTCTTCATCCCGCCCCGCCCGTTTAATCTTTAATTATTTTTTTTTAAGAATTCAATACTTTTAACAAACAACTCCGCGAAATTTCATTGAGGACTACATATTAAAAGAGCTAAAGTAAAGACAGACACGTGTCAGTCATTTCCAATTGTCGTCAAAAATCCTCTTTTTTTTTTTTTTTCTTAATTTCCTGAAATTCGTCAAAATTTTCAACACCGCCATTCATGCTTCTTCATTATCTCACATAACCACCGACTCCTCCTCTATTTTCCCATGCTACCTCCCACTGCAAATTTCTCATTCCTTTCCATTTGCAAGGCTAATGCTGTTAAACAATAGATTTTTTGCTCCTAGAAGAATTTGGCAAACTGGTGCAGTTGAAATACACCTCAGATTTGAATTATATTTTCCCCATTTCTTTGTGAAGACATTTATATAAAGTCAACTCTATATTTAAATGAGAAGCCTAGATCGGGTAGCAAATTGCTTGCTTGCATGTCATCTTTGTGCTAATTATATCTATCTGTTCATTGAATAATAGAAGTGAGACACGACCCATGTCTCCATGTGCGCACGAAGACACGAGATCCGTGTCTCTGTGGCGCACGAAGACATAGGTCTCCGTGCGCCCGTGTCTTTGTTGCGCACGGAGACAGGTCTCGCATCTTGATAATGGTTCCACAGGTTCGAGGTGATGATGCAGATGACCCTACTACATATCTCCTATTGTACTATAGCAGAAAAGAAGACATTTTTAGCAACTAATACAGCTGTGCTTAGCAGCGACAGTGCTCAGAAAAGGCACCTCAGCTTTTCTTTAGCCTCTTTTGATTGTTTTTTTTTTTTTGGTGAACAGAGTTATATTCACTGTTATTTTACTCATATGCTGTGGTCCATGCATTTCTTTTTCATTTTCTTTAATGTCTATCTCAATCTATTTGTTACTAAGAACCAAAATTTTAACTTATTTTCTTTTTTACATTCATGAAAACTTCTTTTCTATTTTACATTTATGCTACTCTATTTCTTGATATTAGAGGTGTCTTTTATATGTTCTTATTATAGTCTATATTTATTAGCATAAAAATTTATAGTATTGTGTTATACATAATTTCCATTTGTTTTGAATCTGTAGCCATTGCTGAAAAACTAAAGCTAAAGCATTCGTCTCTTACGCATTGGATCTTGGCGGGACAAATTTCATTGTGGTGCATGTGCAATTAGGAGGCAAAGCTAGCAGTGGAGGACCCAGCTCCCGGGGCCGCCCGTGCTGGGTCCGTCAAAACCTTCAATCGTCTCACCGTCCGCCGGGAGAAGAAAGATGAAGAAGAGTAGAAGACGGCGACTCTGTAAATTTTTTCTCCATTCCTTAATATTTCATTTGTTTAATTGTTTGGGCCTTATTTAAAAAAATAAGGCCCAATTAATGAGCCCAATCCTGCAATCCATGGTTGAAATATGAATTGTCCATTACCATTAGGTCCATTAGCCACAACAATTACAAAACCAAATCAAATTCATTTTGGTCCGACAGAGGGACCGAGGGAGATGGACAATTGTGAGTCTGTGACGAGGGCGAAACTGCGGTGTGAGGGGGCCCCTGCCTGGCTGTGAGTCTTTGACACCACCGAGATAAGTGGATGGAGTCAGTGTCACAAAGGAGGGTGGTCGGTGGTGCAATAACCAATAGCTGGAGGTCAGTCTGTTGGAGTTTAGTCTCGTCTGCGATCTCAGCCTCTCAGGTCTGCCGGAATGCCGTATGCGTTCTAACTTCTGCCTGCCTGTAGCCTGTAGGTATTACTTATTAGCTCAAAAATCTTGCCTTGCTATTTGCCTATTTCTTTTTTGCTACTTGCTAGTGGCTAGTGGCTAGTGCTTGTGCTTGTGCTGTTGTGAGTCTGTGACTTATGCATTCTGTATTTTTGTTTTTGAATTGTGTATTGTGATTTGTGATTTGAGAATTTAGGGTTTTAGAATTGAATTGGATTTGGTATTGGATTTAGGGTTTGGAATTGGGGGAATTGGAATTTTGGATATATATAATTTTTATGTTTTAATGTGTGTACATATATATTGAATAATTTTTAATATTATATAATTAAATATTAATAAACGACATCGCATTTATGATCTCTACTTGTCGACGTTGACTGGTCAACGTCCGCCCGGGCTAGACTTCGATGCTGGGTCCACCACTGAAAGCTAGTGGTATTGTTCATCAGGAACTCATTGAGGCA